TGTAATTACAAGACCTATGCTTATCTCATTAAATTTCCTCCTCTTACCGAATCAAATTTATATAAATATGATATAAATTAATTTTATTACCTTGCTTAGATGTAATTCCACCTATGAATGCAAATCCACCGTGATCCCGCAAGTTTCTACTTCTGTTTCCACATTGCTGCAATTCACCACTAGGAAGTTCAAATCTGTTTTCAATTTTCTCATTTTTTTCTGGTTGGTTCATCAAATGGAGAATGCCCAACAGGGCAACATACCTAACAAATTTCGTATTAACAATATAAATATGTTTGTTTCATACATTTTTTTCATTCAGGACATAAATATGAGTAACTACTTTAACATTAATTACTTATTGATATACAATGATATATAATATACCTACAATTATTATGGAGTATTTTTCCTAAATAATAACTATCACAAATACAGGAAGATATGTATATAATATGGGACTATTTATTAGGCGGAAGTCGCCTAGTGGCAGACACCTAAGGTTATTTATAAGTAAATCAAAAAATATTTTATGAAATATTCATTACTTATGACCTATGTTAGATAACAAAGTTAGAAATCAAACTAAATTAAATAAATTAACTAAATAACAAAACTATATTAACAAAAATGAAAAATAATTAATACTATCAATCAAACTTTGGTAAAAAAATATGATTTTAAAAGTGGCACCTAGTACCGGACATTTCAAAACCACATATGTAGCCATCTCCACATTCTGGAATGTCTGCACATGTGTGTTTGAAGAATATTCTTAGATATTTGCAAAAAAGTCACTATTCATCACACTTCTGGCTGGGCCACACCAATGCTCTCAGCTGGTGCATTCACCATAAGCTCTTCATTCTTTGACTAGGATATACGAAAAATGGGGTAAGCAGTGATCGTTAGCACTCATACTGAACAAAATCAAATAATCGAAATAACTACGTAAATTTTCACAAGCAATATCAATATTTCTTCTGTCCGACACTAAGGGACGACTTAGTGTCCGGTGCTAAGGGACAGACATTTTCGTTCATTTAGCGGCACCTACTAAAATTGTTTAAAAGATCATTTTACGGATAAAAATCAAGTACTACTTTTTATTTTGCACTCAAATGTAAATGTATCAATATTAACCTACCTTCACTTGTATTTTGAAAATAAAAGATCTATACTCGCTTAGAGCGTCCGGCGCTAGGTGCCGTCCGGCGTTACGGGATCCTTTCCTATAATCCATGCGTGTTTTCAAATCAATTCAATTCAGAAATAAATATTTCATTACAATCATGTAATATACTGCTATATATAATATAACAGTACTTTCGTAGACAAAAATTAAAGTATATGATATAGGTGTGGCAAAACAAATCTGAAAAAAATACCAACATATTTTCCATTGATAGTGTGTTCCATTTACCGCTTTTGGTTGATAGGGATATAGTTTGACAAGACATTTTTGCCGTGCCAGACTATCTAATGACTAAATTGCCGGAGGTACTATGGTCGCGATTCTAGATTTGAGGTAAAAATTCTCCGTTAGCTTATTAGATTATTCGTGTGCTGTTGGTATGTCTGACTGTTTACAAATGTGTTCGGTAGGATAGTAACAGTTGCAGTGCCCTGTTCTATGTAGTCTGTATTTTTTTAGAATCACTTTATTTTGTCCATGTCTGTCAGTTTGGTGGCGTTTATGAACCATTTGTTGGCGTGATCTGTTAGTATGTCATTGTGTTTCTGCAATTTTGCAATCAGTAGTCTGTGAATGTCGATAATTTTGTGTTTGCGTCAGTGGGAATGTCGCATATGTAGGCGGTCCCAGGATGAAGCTTTGCGTTACTCCCGTTGCACCCTGTTAAATGCCAATTGTCAATATGTACTGAGAAGATGCGGTTTAGAAGAAAATGAAAATAATAATATTGTTATGCAGGGTGAAAAGTTAGGGTTCAATAATTTCCTCTCATCCACATGCCTTCTCGAAGTCGACCAATATTATCGGGTATGGTTTTGTCTTTAAAGTTAAGTACGGTGATTTCTATAAGTTGGATCTGATGTCGATTGCTGTTTTTTGAACCCTGGTGGTGTGTATCTAGTATATTTTGTTTTGTGTTATGTGTCTGTTGATGAGTTTGAGCCGTAAAATTTTAGTTAGATCGCTCATTGTTGTGAGGTGGCTGTTGGGTCTGTAGTTCTGTTTCATGTTTGGCTGTTTCTCTGATTTTAGTACGAGAAATATCGTGGATTTATTCAAATAAGAAAGCAGCAACATCCAGTACTTAGTTATTATCCGGTTTGTTATAGGGTAAGTAGTATTAGTGCGTTTGTAAATAGTTCTTTCCGCAAAATGTTTTGTAGTTCACTTGGTTCTTGTACTTTCCACTTGGATGGTTTTTGTTTATGATTTTGAATTTCCAAACTGTGGGAGGGCCTATATGTATAGGTGGGTTGCTATCCTTGTATTGTTCATTACAATTTCAAATGTTTTTCTATTAGTCTCGTTTCGGGTTTGCGTTTGACATATAGACGCTTTCTTTGTGAATGTCTTTAACGTTTGTTGCCAATACTTTAGCTACTGACATCGTGGCAAGTATAAGTATATAAAAATTTAAATAAAAATATTCAATTTGAATTTACATTACCTTGGGTCCTAGTTGATCAAAACCACAAGCTGATTGTTTTAAGTAATTTAATATGTTTTCATCATCTCTGGAGGTTGGAAGTAGTTTCATGAGAGAATCACAAGAACGAATGCTAATACATGCTCCAAGAAAATTTTGCGGTGTTTTGCACTGCTGCAGGCATTCCTCAAAATCTAAAAATTAATATATTATAGAATAAAAATTTTTTTGACTGAAGATTTATATAAATATAAAAAATAAGCTGATAAAATGCAAACAAATAAAAATTGTTTATGGCAAGATGCAAGATACCGTAAACAAATGCCACTTAGTCAGTCTTAAAATATACACTTAAAAAAATTAAATAAAATCATAAAAAATATATTTTAAATTTCTCATGATTATTGACAATGGCAATCATTAACTTTTCTCAGTTATATTAGACTAATAACCGAATAATCGTACTATTATGTAATATGGTTAATGGCAACTCAAACACTATAATACGTAAGAGGAACAATCATGCTATATTATAGCGTGGTGTGTGTTTAATATTGAAACACATACTTTTTTATGTATTTTACACGTTTTTGCTAATATTTCAGAATATAAAAACACACAAAATAGTTTCATTAATCTGAGAATTTTCAACAAAATATGAAGTAAATGGAAATATTTATTGATTGAAAATCTTTCTTGATCTGTGCAATGAACTAGTTTTGAGTGAAATCTTTTACTTGATGTTGCATAAATTTGATTTTTTCATAAAATCGTAATTTAGAAACTTTATGATATGAATTTCGAACAGAATATAATCTCAGTAATTTCGATCAGAAAAAATTTTAGGCATAAAGTATTTTTACAAAAGTGGAACTGAAATAACAGTAATGTCTATTGCTGAAACTTCTCGTATCAAAAATTAATTTTTTTAAAAACCCTCTAACATTATTTGATTACTTTGAGAATTTTGAAATTTAAAAAAAAATATTTTTCCTATATTTCAACATTTTTTTTACACTTTGAATTTTTCTGAAATTTAATTTTTTTCAAAGCAATCATGTTGTGTGGCTGTTTAAGAGAAAAAATATCGAAGCGCGTAAGCGCCGTATCGCAGCAGAACATGTTAACAAAATTCATACTATTATTAAACTCTCTATAGAATATCTAATAATTTGATGTGCTGATAAGTATAATGGTGATTACCAAATGGCATTTGTTTTTACTTTTTTCACTTTGAAACTGTTAGACCTACTTTTGCAAAAACTCAAACGGTACTTCATTTTGCCAATACAAATAAAATTATTTTTGCACCGTATCACCGGACCTGCCTTTGCCAAAAATGAATCATCACGTCTCCTTATCAATACGAATCGAAGGATTTTTTGAATCATTTTAATCGGTTGATCCGTACTCCTGAAATTTTCGACAAAATTTGTATCCGCACACACACATGCACACACACTCACATACATCCATTGGTGAATTAGTTTTTGGCGAAGGCAGGTCTAGTCGTTCCGAAGATACGGGGCAAAAAGTGCCAAAAATGGTATCTCAGTTTTTAAAAGAACGGAGCGTCCGATTTTAATAATTCAAAAAACATTTTACTTGTATTGACAAGATGAAGAACTTACCAAATTTTCATGAAAGCAGGTCTAGCGGTTTCGGAGATCTAATAAAAAAAGTAAAAAAAAGTGCTATTTGGCGGTCAAAATTGATCATTAGACATATGCGCATAAAATTATCAGATATTTTACAGAATTTTAATAATAAGTATAAATTTTGTTCACATTGCTATGGTTTCCGTACCAATGTTTATTCGTTAGACGGCGACGCGGCGCTTACGCGCTTTGACATTTCGTCTCTATGCAGTTAAAGCAGTACGATTGCTTTGAAAAAAAGTTCAGAATTTCCAAAATATGTCAAAATAAAGAAAACATTTTTTTTTCAGAAACATTTTTTTTTTCAAAAAAAAGTAATTTTTTGTCAAATTTATAGTTTCTCAAAAATCTATTTTTTTATTAAATACATTTTTTTCAAAAATGTTAATCGTTTTTAAAAAATAATAATTTATGACACGGAATGTTCCAGCAATTTGCCTTAAGGCACGATGCCATGCGCCCCACTAGTTTTCGATTTTTTTGCGATTACTATACTTACTCTACTCTATAATTTTTTCTCTAATGATTGCCTAATTTAATACAAATAAATAAAAAAACAGAGGACCCCACGTATCTTATTGAAATAAATAAAAAATAAAATAACTAAACACAAACAGTTATGAAATTATTGGTATGTATATTACTGATATCAGTAGTCAGTAATTATTCACATATGAAGAAAAAAATATTTGAAGGTAAACTGGTATTCCCGGTTAATGTTGAGAATCTTATTGAATCGCATATTCGTTGAAATCATTGAATTCATTCATTGAATCATATTAAAATATTAAATTAATAACAAAATATGTTATAGATACAAGACAAAATATTTATAGTACTACCTACAGTTAAGTATAATAAATGTTAAATTAATCAAATTGTCGTTATATAAATAAAATGGTATGCGGCAAACATTTATGAAATTTACTCATAAAAAATTATGAAAAAAAATTAATAATTTTACTATTGTATAGTTAAAAGCCTATTAATGCATAAACTATTAAAATTAATTGCAAAGAAAAAAAGATAATATATAAAAAAGTAGTCGATAACTTTTACTGTACAGATTGATAAGTGTAAGCATTTTATTTTATAGATTTACAAAAAAAACTTTTAACTCATGCATTTTGGTTTCACAGTGTGATCAGAAATTTAATATTTAACAATGTAGTCACAATTAACAAACTTAATACAAAAGAAATTTCTTATAAAATGTCAAAATCGAATTTTTAAAATATAAATTTTTCAGAAACAATTTGCGACTAATATGTAAAATAATTTCTCAGTTTCATAAAATTAGATTGGACTGACGACCATACAGGGGAACTACTACAACACTTTGGAAACATCATAAAAACTTTCCGAAAAAGTTTATGTTTTCATAAACCGATTTGCTAATTTTATGTCTTCTCGACGTTTCAAGCCATTCTGAATCGAACGAGATGAAATTTGGAAAAAGAGTGTATGTGTGTGTATGTGAACAGATTTTTTGAAGTAAAACTTCTATAGGCGCGACTAGGGTGTAAATCCGTACAAATGCAACGGAAGTCCGTTACCACCGAACTGTTCGTCATTCGCTCTCGATTAAATCATTTCTATACGGCTCGATTGTGATTAGTCGTCGTGTATGAGAATAGAGATCTGTCGTTGTATGCATGCCGGCAACAACGTTGTATGCGTACTGATATCAACAAGGAAATCGACATAGATAAATAAACATTTTAAAATTACATTGTAGTACAAATCTTGATTTAATGAAAAATGCATGAATCAGAAGAATATTTCACCCTGTTTCTTGAAAACAATAAAACAAATGAAAGATTTGTGCCGTGTACTAAACGTAAGTTCATTGATTAGAAATTATTTCTATATTATTCGTAGTTTCTATAAACCATTGAAGTTATTAAAATGAAAAATATTTTTTAGGCAAAACAGATATTACAGCTGTTCATAGAATGAGATTATATCGACAGCGAAAAAGTAAAAAAATACAAGCAGTCAATGAATGTATGTTAATTTTAATTACATGAAGTTCTTGAAACACAATTACATGATGAGTGAAGTTGCGAAAACAATATTTGTTTAGGCGTTGTTTAACATAATCCACTCTGTGAACGAATATTATAGAATTTATTAATCAGCAATTACTTCATTTCTCTAATGAATGTTCATTTCTAAATACTAATTACAATGACAAACCGATCGTGTCATTTTTGAAGTATGACTTTAATTACATTATTGTTTTTAAATATTATACATATTTTTAATGCTATTATAAATATATAATTTATAATTTATCATTATATAAATATGTATAATGGTTGACACTAATAAATGTGTGCATCACGAGTATTACCATATTACTAATAAACATTATTCAAAATTGTTATATGATGTATTTATTCTTACTTAAGAGCCATTTTGTACAGTAGAAAATAAGTTTTACTTCAATCGCGTGTGAACCTTACGCGCACTCTTTTTTTATTTTTGTAGTTAACAGATAGCAACAAAAACAAAAGTTTGATGATGCACAACTTATAAATATTTAAAAATAAAAGTTGAAATAATGTGGAACCATTGGGCTTACCTTGTCCTGCAGTTTCACCAATAACGATCAGAAAAATTATTGCAATACCTACAATTGTTTTTTGCACAATTTTACACATATTAGAATAATAAAAATTGGAAGTTCTGAATATATAGCAGAACGATAAAATTGTAACCACTAAAAAATTTTGCAATAGATTTACTTTAATTGACGATAAGTAATTACCAATATCATAAGTAACACCTTTAAATTTTGCAAATTAAAGTTTATCCATTTCACTCATATATAATGTATTTTGCATATTTACTTGACAAGTTCAAAAATAATTTATTGAGTTGCTATCAATGAAGTATTTTATGAGTGAGTTACACGTGTAAAGTTGCAAATAATACTGACTCTTATTCAGATGTTTATTCCAATATTATATCCGATAAAAACGCGCAAAGAAGAGACCTAATATTTACACTTGAAAACAGGTCTTTTGAAAAATAAAGTAAAAATATACATAAAAATCCGTTATAATCATCAAGAGCGGTGACAAATTTGTACGAAAACAGAAGTTCTCAAATCGATGCAAAAATAAAAAGTTCAACAACTTCTATAAATAAAATAATGTCTTAACTTTTTTCCTCTTTTTATTTCCTTTTTGCTATTTTTTAAAAATTAAAGATATCTCAACAAATTTGCTGAATCTAGTTTCATCTAATTAAATTTTTCGTTTCAATAAATGATATTTTTATCCTTCAGTACCATGAATATGATAGTGGTGTATGGCATTGTGCTTTAAGGCAAATTGCTGGAACTTTCCGTTTCGTGATAAAATATTCCCAGAACATGAAATAATTTTAAATATATTATTATAAATACAGTAACCTTCATTTTTTGTATTTTATAGACAAAAGATAAGAGCTTAAATAATAATAATAAATTTGACGATGACGTTTATATAAGTTCACATGAAAAGTCAATAAACAAAACTTAATGAATCGGTTGGACCTATATTTGCATAAAGCTAATCATCATTTCTCCCAATCATTTTGAATTAAATGTTTTTTGAATGATTCAAATCGGATGCTCCGTACTCTTAAAATTTCGATTTCCATTTTATGCACTCGTTGCTTCGTATCTGCAAAACGGCTGGACCAACTTTTGCAAAAACTAATCAGCACATCTAGTTATCAGAAGAAACCGAATGGTGTTTAAATAATTCAAATCGGTTAACCGGTGCTCCCATAAACGCCGACAAAAATTGTATCCATACATACATACATACTACATACACCCACACACACACACACACATCCGTTTTTATTAGAGGTATGCCAAAATGTTCAGAAACCTCTTTTGATTTTTGGCCCATTACTGTAACTTACCCTACGAGAAGCAAATCAGAAATAAAATAACTATTAATTTATTTTATCTCTTGCCGAATTGCTTTTTTTAACTTAATCTACTTTTTATTTACTGTTTTCTAATTGTTTATACCTTTATCAGTGTAAAGGTTTAGTCGGTCCTTCTTAACCCACTCAAAGAAACTAAAAACCTAACTCAGAAGTAACAAGTCATCTAATAAAACAAATAAATTAACGTATACTTGAAGATTATATAAATTATCTCGTAAACTAAACAATAGTGCTCACCACCAAAAAATAAAACTATAAACGAAAGAAAATACTTTCGTTATTAATTTTCAAACATTGTCATTTATCTACAAATTTACTTTCAAATATTCTTGCTAACTAGTGACTCATGGAATCGTGCCTTAAGACAAATTGCTGAAACTTTCCGTACCAGAATTAAACATTTGAAGAAAAAATCTGTAATTAATAAATATTGTTCAATGATTAATAACAATTGTATTAAATATTTTCAAATAGATAATTATAAATCGAATATGTTCAGTTATATAGCGACGATCTTAACGCGCAAATGTTTACATTAACAAGAGATGCCGAATGAATCCATCTGAAGATATATTTCTTACGATTAGAATAATGCATGTGAAATATATACATTTTTAAACTGAAATATAAATTTAAAATTTATACGGAAATTTTGATAATATGATGTGCATATGTTTTTCTATCTCCGAATTTGCTGGAACTGCCTTCTCAAAAATTCAATTAATTTTTTATTTCATCAAATAAGTAAACTGTTTTTTGAATCATTCAAATCGGGCGCTCCGTTCTGTCAAAAACTAAATTACTGTTGGTACTTTTTGCCGCGTATCTTTGAAACACCTGGACATGTCTTAGCCAAAAACAAATCAGCCCGTCTTTCCATCAATAGAAATCGAATGATTTTTAAATTATTCAAATCGGTTGATCCGTGCGCCGGAAGTCGTGGACGAAAAATTGTATCTCAAAATACATACACACACACTCACATGCACATACATCTATTTTTTCTAAGGTATTCCAAAATGTTCAGAAACTTCTTCTTTTGAAACGTAAAGATATGCGAAAATTTTCGTTTTTGATTTATTTGCCATTACCTACCGGAAGTTGAAAAATTCTTACCTTTAAAAATAAATGTTGCATAGAAGTTATTTGCTCGTTAAAAAAAAATATTTCGTGATATGAATATTTTTAGAGACTGTTGTATCAACCCGAATAAGAACATCGAGAGCATTTAATTTACTGTTATTTTTCTGACGTAAGTTGAAAAATATGCAATTTAATTCAATTTTTATAATATGCATATTGCAAAATATTTGTACAGTGACGTTTTTAAAACGGTTAAACCTTTTCTTAAAAAAAAAATTAAGAACCTCAAGTACTCATTACTTATACTCATTATAGTTTCTCGGTTATTGGTGTTAATTTCAATTTAAGAATTTATATTTGAAAGTTATTTTATATTAATATCTATAAACTTAGATCAATAAATTTTTTATCTTACGACGTGAGTAACATTAGATAGTAATTTTGAAATTCAGAAAACCCAAACTTGTAGAAGATGCACTTATAAATTATAATTGCTGATTAAATTTCAACTAGTTTATATTCAAAGCACACAAAAGTTATTAATTATTATTAGAGTTTGAGTAATAAAACTTTGCTGAAGATGATATTGATTTTTTTACTAAATAAAGATATGCGAATGTAGTAATTATTCCTCTATCGAATTAATTATTTTTATTAATAAATATAACCTTATGCCAGTAGTGGTGATTTTGATCAATTTTATTTCAATAATCAAGTATTTAATATAATTCGGATCATTTATTCATATTTATTCATTTTCGTACAAAATGATATAGTACTATTTGGCCAGTTCTTTTGAGGCCGAGAAAAAAGAAAATTTAAATTTGTCAAATTTGATTGGCTTTTAACTGGCATAATTTTAATTGGCTAATTTTATCACGTTTAAAAACAGACCAAAAGATCTATCGATAAAAAGAAGAAAATCGCAGTTGTTACAAAAAAACAAAAATAGTGAGAACAGCAGGCAAAAGCATCTAATTCCCTATAACTATAGTGCTTAACCAAATAACATCTTTTAAATCTTTTAATAGTTTCATCTTAGTCCCTACTTGATTGCTAATGATTTGCTGCATGAATTAAAATGCTATGAACACAATATTATTTGAAGTAACTGATTTTCATATTTTCTTATATAAATTACAAAATATATAATGACATTTGACATCATTAACCAAAAAATAAGAAAATAACCGTTTCAATAAATTTTTGAAGCATTTTAATCTAACAATCTTAGTTATATTATTATTGCTGTAACTTTTCAACAATCCAAGGCATATACGCAGATACTCGAGTATATACCCCAGGGAATCCAGGTTCAGCGCACCTGTATCCATAAGAAACGATACCAATTAAAAAGTAGACTACTCTCTGTGCAGCTTCTCCTTCTACAGTCTGAAATTATATATTCAAAATACATCAATTATTTTTGTAGATGTTCCAACAGTTCTAGTACACAAATAGAATAATTATAAAATAATTGGGTCTAAAAACTATTAAATCCATATATTATCGATTTTAATATTAGCACTGCGCTGTGCATTCGAATATAAAAAGTCATACTCACTCTTATTGCCTACAATAAATATTAAAATTAGTAATTTGAGAAAATTATTTCATACCACGGGCCAAAAAAGAGGTCCTCCACTATCACCCGAGCAGGCATCTTTACCGCCTTGTTCGTAGCCGGCGCATATAACTCTTTCATCTATTATCTGTAATAATTTTAATTAATTTTACTCAAAAAGGTTTTTACTCAAAAGGAAAAATTTACGTTTTACTTACTTACTTACACACACTTATCTATTTTTTTAAGTATGCCAAAATGTTCAGAAACTTTGAAACGCTTTTTGAGATTACTATAAGGGAAGTCAATAATTATATTTTTAGTTTGCTATCTCACTGGATTTTTTTTTGAAGTAAAACTTTTTTAGGCGCGAATAGAATGTAAATTCGTACAAATGCAACGGCAGATAAGATAAGATAAGAGCCGAGTGCCAATGATTCGTCATTCGCTCTCGATGACATCATTTCTATACGGGTCGATTGTGATTAGTCGTCGTGTATGTGAATAGAGATCTGTCGTTGTATGCGCACCGGCATCAATGTTACATGCGTACCGGCCTAAACGTTGTATGCGTATCAATATCAACAAGGAAATCGGCATAGATAAATAAACATTTTAAAGTTACATCGTAGTACAAATCTTGATTTAATGAAAAATGCCTGAATCAGAAGAATTTTTCACCCTGTTCCTTAGAAATCATTTCTATATTATTCGTAGTTTCTATAATTCTTTGAAGTTATTAAAATGGAAAATATTTATTAGGCAAGACAGATATTACAGCTGTTCAAAGAATAAGATTATATCGCAAAAAAGTAAAAAAATACAAGCAGTCAATTAAAGTATGTTAATTTTTATTACATGAAGTTCTTCAACACAATTACATGATGAGTGAAGTTGCGAAAACAATATTTGCTTTGGCGTTGTTTAACATAATCCACTGTGTGAATAAATATTATAGAATTTATTAATCAGCAATTACTTCATTTCTCTATTGAAGGTTAATTTCAAAATGCTAATTACAATGACAAACTGACCATGTCATATTTGAAGTAGGACTTTTATTACATTATTGTTTTTAAATATTATACATATTTTTAATGCTATTATAAATATATAATTCATAATTTATCATTATATAAATGTGTATAATGGTTGACACTAATAAATGTGTGTATCACCAGTGTTACCATATTACTAATAAACATTCAAAATTGTTATATTATGTATTTATTTTTACTTAAATTCCATCTTGTACAGTAGCAAATGTGTGTCAATCGCATGTGAACCTTACGCGTACTCTTTTTTTTAAAGTTTAATTATAATTACCTTATTTGGAAATGCTGAGTAAGCATTTTGACACTTTTCTGTAGTTACTGCAGGTAACATAACTTCTTGCAAAATTGAACTGGTGGCACCACCTAAAATATTATAATATGGTTTTTTTTCTCGTATAAAATATAATTAACAAAGAACTTCAAAAGCGCCCTTTTGAAAACGGTTACTGAGATAAAAATGTAGAATATTTCAATACCTTTAATAGATTTTAAAAAACTATTTAGATCTTCAGCTTTAGAGTTACAAAGGAAATCATATCACAATCTTGCCGATATTTATTGTATATATCGAGTGTATATAGATCAAAAACTCGAAGTATTATAAAAATTTGCTTGATAGATCAGCAATAATTTCAACTATCCAAATAAAACCCTCAAACTTTTTTTCGTAATTCATTTAATTTAAGAAATAAATAAATTTTTTCCAACGAGCCATCACCGGATTTGCATTGTTACCATTTTTGCAGTGATACTCGTAGTTTAAAAAATTCCAAGTTTTCAGCAAGTCTTCATAGCTCAAATTAAAATAATTTTCGAATTAATCTTAAATTAAATATTTAAAATACTGAGGCTATAGTATTTTAAATATTTAATTTAAGATTAATTCGAAAATTATTTTAATTTGAGCTATGAAGACTTGCTGAAAATTTGGAATTTTATAAACTACCAAAAATTAAAAAAACAAATTAACCGTCTCTATTTGTTGCTTAATATCTTTACTTTGTTTGAAAGTTTCACGTAATTTTTTTTATATAGATAAAATTTTCAAAAAATTATTACATATGATCAGAGATTATAATAATATTTGGCATTGGCATATAATAATAATTGCTGCAATATTATCTACATCAAATATGACGTAAAATTCAAACTTACCATACTGCGTGGAACCCCATCCGGCTCCCCAAAGGGTTTCTTGTTCATTGGAAGTAGCAAATATTTTATATGCCACATCCTTTCGATAGGGTAAGCATATAGGATATATTGCAACTGTAATACAAATTAATAAGACTTTATTGAATTTGTATAAGTAAACCATATCTGTAGGCCTTTAACGTTTTTAATAAACTCTATCATCCTAACCAGTGGCGGCGCTAGACCATTCGTGGGCGTCGGCGAAATTCGTTTGCGAGGCCCCCCTTTTTTGCCAGTTGCAAGTTGACTAGTGGTACATGGCATCGTGCCTAAAGGCAAATTGCTGAAACATTTCGTGCCGTAATTTAAATTTTTGAAAAGCTTTTAAAAAATTTGAAAAGTGAAAGAAATTGACTTTTTTTAATTTGAAATATTTTGTTGAAAACTTCGAACTTTTTTTCAAAGCAATCACGTTGCGTTAGCTGCTTAGAGACGAAATATCGAAGCGCGTAAAAGGCGCGTTGCAGTCTAACTTAACTCACTATTAATTAAAATCTTTATAAAATATCTGATAATTTGATGTGCATATGCTAAATGGCTTTTGTTGTGCTTTTCTACTGAATTTTCAAAACCGCTAGACCTGCCTTCCTAAAAATGTAATCAGTTTGGCACTTTTTGCCCCGTATATTCGAAACGGCTTATCCTGCCTTTGCCAAAAACTAATCAGCACGTCTTCTTACCTTCAATACATGACAAATGTTTTCTGAATTTTTCAAATTGGTTGATCCATGTTCGCGAAATCGTCGTCGAAAATTTGCCAAAATGTTCAGAAATCTTTGAAGATATATAAAATTTTTTGTTTTAGATTTTTTTGCGATTACTATAACTGTATATGAGATTTATTTTTAATCAGATAAATACACCAATTGAAATAGACAAAAATTACACAAGTTAAAATTAACAAACTCTTCGGCAAAAATGGTTTATTCTCCAGCTATTAAAAAAGCACTAAAATTAAATAATTATCGCAAAAAAGTTTCCCTTTGCCCAACCATTTGATTAGTTAATTTTATGTTTTTTCGATCATTATGAATAAAAAATAGTTGGAAATCACCGACTTAATAACTAATTAGACAAAATTTTGCAATCTGCAAGTGATTAATTAGATTTAAAAAATCTACGTTCATACTAATTTGAGTGCACAAATCCGCACATCACATAGTAGGTATATACATGGTCTAAAAGCTCGTCCCATTATTTTAAAATTTAATGAGTTTTTATAATTAATCATTTATCGTAGTTCCATAAAATTTATGTTAGATGATACTAACAAGTTTTTGAAAAAAGATTTTTACAATAAACACGAAGAAACTGTGCGGTCGATCTTGACGAAAAACAATTCAGAACGATCGCCAACTGAAAACTTTCGATCAGTTTTTGAATTTTTAAAATTGGTTCAAAAATGCCAAAATGTCGTTTTTTTAGGACGCTTTAATTTTTTGTCGACGACATCAGAGCCGATCAACCGATTTAAAGGATTTAAAAAACATTCGATTTGTGTTGATAAATTGTCAAAGGCAGGTTTAGCGGTTTTGGAGATACAAAAAAAGTTTAAAAGGTTATCAATTTTATTTGAAAGAACTGATCATCCCAATAGAATGTTTAAAAAAATATATTGCTTGTGTTGACGGTGTGAAACAATGATTAGTTTCAAATTAACAGTTTTTGCTATTATCTCATTGTTATTTCTCACTGATAAATTTTTATTGAACATTGATTACTTTTATTCCTCGAATATTCAATTACTGTTTCGATGATTTACATAGTGCTCACATAAGAAATACACAAATATAAACAACCAGAGAATTAGCTTGCGCAAAGTTGTTTAGATTTAATAATCTATAGTGTTGACAGACGATATTAGATAATGTCCATAAAAGATAAAAGAGTAAAATGATAGTGCCTGTAAACCACTAATCACCTTTTTTACTCGCACATCCGTATGAAAATTAACTAAATTTTAAATAATTAAAATTTTTCCGGGGCCTCTTGCGAGGCCCCACCACGCGCGAGGCCGTCGGCGGCCGCCGACACCGCCGACGCCTCGCGCCGCTACTGATCCTAACTAAGAACGTTCCGCATGATCTTCACCAAAAAATAATCTGCACGATTTACAACTGATATCTTAAGAACTAATAATTGGTGTAGTCATTTTTATTTATAAACAAACACATAGTTTTTTTTTCAATTTCGGTGTCACAACAATTCAAAGTGACTTGAAAAGTGGAGAACGCAAAAAATTATCAAATTGGACTTTCTGGTGAAAACATAAACTTCACGTCCGGAATTTAAGAAATACTCAACTCATTAACAGCACTTACAAGTGTAAGAAGCTTCATCTTGTAAATAGATAATAGTAATGTCAGCCACACGCGTTTTTCTGTTATATTCTTCATGTCTAACAGTTTTAGCTATTTTCATATCAACAACAGCCGGTGAAGATTCGTTGAAATCAAATTCTCCAAGACGAACTAAATATCTGTAATAAAATAATACTGGTTATTTTTAACACTTTTTCCATAATGTAATAACAGCTTTCTATGAAAAAAATAGCAATTTATCAAATTCAAAAAATATATAAAAAGATATATTAGAACAGTCAAAATATATTGTACATTGAGGTAATTCTAATTGAACTTATAATGTAAGGTGCAGTGGACAGACGTGGGCCACAGATTGGAGTGGGCCACCTGAATAACTAATATAAGTCTAGTAACATCTATGTCGAGCCGCGCACATATTTATCATATTTTGATACTTGATCAATTTTAAAAAGCATTTGGGGGTTATAAAACTACTCTCACACTGTACGAAGAAACGCGCTATGAATTTCACACTTTTCCCTACATTTTCGGAAAACACAAAAAAAGAAATACTTCCAAACATAATTGTAAGCATTTGCTATGATAAAAGGTTTGCACTTTGGTATACCTTTGCAACTTAAAAAAAAAAATCACTTTCATTTTAACTATTTTACAACCATATATAAAAGCGTGGCTCACTCCTATTCACCGCACCCTACATTTTGGACTCTATCTTAATTCATTGACTTAAGTATGAGCAAGCTAATTCATGAGTAGTTTAATTGTACTTTAACTCCTTCGCTACAGAAGTGTTTTCTGCAAAGGTAACACTGGTCTACGGAACAGCAAGTCGCCCAGTAGCGCTACTGTACAGACCAGGCTAAACAACATATTTCAGAATTTTGAAGTTTTTTGAAAACTTTGATTTTTTGTTCAAAGCGATCATGTTGCGTAGCTTTTTTAAGATTAAATATCGAAGCGCGTAAGCGCCGTGTCACAGTCTTACGATTATCATTATAAATATTGGAACTCATAGAAATGTAAACAAAATTATACTTAGTATTAAAACTTATACAAAACATCTGATAACTTGATATGCCTATGTCCAATGATCATATCAATGACCAAATGGATTTTTTTTCATTGGTTCTCTGAAACTATTGGATCTGCCTTTCTAAAAATGTAATCAATTCATCCGTCTATACAAGTAAAATGTGAATTAATTAAATTGGGAATTCCATTCATCCAAAACTGAATTGATTTTTTTGCACTTTTTGCCCCGTATCTTCGAAACGACTAGACCTGCTTGTGCCATAAACTAATCAGCACGTCTTTTCATCATCACTATGAATCGAATGTTTTTTTGGAATCTGTTGATTCGTGATCTAGAAATCGTGGACAATGTGTCCTCTATAGGCGACACTTGTATACAAAGGTAGTTAATATTTGTTATTCAAAACAAGTTACATGCATAAGATTTATAAGGAAAACTCTTATAATTTGGGGGTAATATATTTTTTCTAGGAACTAAAAATACTTAACAAAAGCATCTTTATGAATAAATTTCGATAAATAATTATATATTTCTGAATATTTTATAAACTGATATGAAACAGTTTGAATAAATAAGTTTTTAATTTACAAGATATAATTCTTAGTCAAATAGATGAATTTATTTTATACTGTAGAAAAATATACTATCGATATGTATGGATGTATGTGCGGATACAATTTTTCGCCGACAATTTTGAGAGCACTACTCAACCGATTTGAATGATAGGAAAACATTCGATTCCAATTTAGGGGAAGACCTGCTGATTAGTTTTTAGCAAAGGCAGGTCCAGCCGTTTTGAAGATACGGGACAAAGAGTTCCAAAAATGGTAATTCAGTTTTTTAGGAAACGAAGCTTCCGATTTGAGTTATTCAAAAAATATTATGTGTACTTGTATTGATGAAATAAAGAATTAATTGTGGGAGGTCCAGCGGTTTTGGAGATACAGAGAAAAAAGTGATTTGATATTTTGTTTCAAAATCAGCTACTTCTAAAACCTTCAAAATACAAAAAAATGAAATTGTTTAAAAAAGTTAAATTACATTAAAAATTTTAATTTCTCAAAAATCTAATTTTTTTAAAGTTTTCAAATTTTTTTTAAAGATTTGTCAAAAAAAAAATATTTTTGAAACGGAAAGATCCAGTAATTTACCTTAAGGCACGATGCCAAGGTACCACTGAATAATTTAAATCGTTTAAATATAACTTCCCGTAGGGTAAGTTATAGTAACCGCAAAAAAATCAAAAATAAATTTTTTTATATATCTTTACGTTTCAGAGGTTTCTGAACATTCTGGCATACCTTAAGAAAAATGGATGTATCTGTGTGTGTGTGCGGATACAAATTTTTGTCGACGATTTTGGGAACACCGATCAACCGATTTCAATAATTCAAAAAATATTCGATTGGAATTGATAATGTGACGCGCTGATTAGTTTTTGGCGAAGGAAAATCTAACCGTTCCGAAGATACGGAGCAAAAAGTGCTTAAGAGAAAGGAGCGTCCAATTTTAATAATTCGAAAAACATTTTACTTGTATTGACAAGATAAAGAATTGATTAAATTTTTGGGAAGGAAAGTCCAGCGGTTAAGGACTCTAAATAAGAATAAGTTACAAATGTCATTTGGAGGTCAAATATGTTCATTGGACATGTGTACATCAAATTATCAGATGTTTTAAAGAGATTTTAATAATGTGTACACATTTTGTGTGAATATTTTTGGGTTCCGTACCAAGATTTTTAATTACGGTACGGGAAGTTCCAGCAATTTGTCTTAAGGCACGATGCCCTGCACTCTACTAGTTTTTGATATAATTGAATATAATGAAAATGAAAATTATATAAAAACAATATAACATGCTAAATTTGAATAGGTGTAAGATCACATTGACTCACATTCCAGCGCGAATGCAATGAGCAGCCGAGAGCACATGTCTTTTTGTGATGAGGGCGCCTCCGCACCACCAATTTGTGGTTCCGTTTTCACCATGGTAACCTAGAGCAGCAACCCATGGCCATTGTCCTGGTGTATTAAAAAATAATTATTTAAATGATATTGAAGCCCACTACATCACAACTCATAACACATATCGATAAAACTATCGAACTATGATCAGTAACATTTCGTCATAATTTGTCATTTTTATCACACTTTTTTGTTAGCTATTTTTCTAAAATATATCATCAGGCTTTTTTCAACCGATAGATGGAGTAATCAAAGCCGTTTAATTATTAACTTCCCGTAGGGTAAGTTATAGTAATCGCAAAAAAATCGAAAATGAAAATTTTTATATATCTTTACGATTCAAAGGCTTCTGAATATTTTGGCATACCTTTGAAAAAAAAATGGATGTATGTGTGTGTGTAAGTGTGTGTATGTGTCTGTGTGCGTGTGCGGATACAAATTTTGTCGACGATTTCGGGAACGCCGATCAACCGATTTGAATAATTCAAAAAACATTCGAACATTTCACGGTCAAAAACATTTTGACCGTCAAATGACAATTTTTTAAATTTTTTTTATTGAAAGTACATAACCGCTAGACCTGCCTGTCTGCCTTAATAATGACTGCCCAATATTTATCTCGCTGAAACTTTTACTGTCGAACTGTACTTCTTTTGTTATCTATTTTTGAAGAAGAGACATGAAAATCGAAATGATGTTAGCGGTGTTTTTGAAACGCACAAGATAATAATGTTTAAAGAGACCTCTCAGAAAGCATCACACCCATGACCAAAATCCACGAGGGATTTTGGCGAACGGTCATCGATGATGATCAAACTCCAAATGAAGTTCGAGCATCTTTCTCACGCTCAGAGTGCGATGCTACGACTCATCGTCGAGGTCGCATCAACTCCACGTTTGAGTGAAGAGATTGTGAAGACATACTACAGAAATGATCCTGTGAAGTATGATCTTGCCCAAACGACGTTTCGACCGAGACATGCAAAATCCTTTCAGGTTTGTGCGGCAATTACAGGTTAACGTGACCCAGGTATACGATGCGGTGACATCTAACTTCTAACATTCCATTTTCAAGTTTTGCTTATAGAAGCAGCGTTGGGCCTAAATGACTACATGATACAACTTCAAAATATGTATATTATTTTTTATAATTCAGTATTCAGGTTAACATGACCCAGGTATACGATGCGGTGACATCTAACATCTAACATTCCATTTTCAAGTTTTGCTTATAGAAGCAGCGTTGGGCGTAAATTGGTACATGTTACAACTTCATATAGTACATGTTCAATATGTATATTATTTTTTCTAATTCATAATTTGTCATATTCAATAGTCAGTTCTAAAATTTTATTTTTATCTAGCTAATACAAATAGCAGTTATATGAAACATGAAACTAAATATGACATATAAGTTGGCGCTGGATTTACAGTAGGGACAGTCGGGGCTACTGCCCAGGGCAGCAAATTTTCGGTGGCGGCAAAATTTGGATAGCAAGAAAAAAATTCTATACAATGTAGTTAACTGATTGTTTTAATAACATTTTTAACTTCCCGTATAGCAAGTTATAGTAATCGTAAAAAAAAACAAAAATGAAAATTTTTATATATCTGTACGTTTCAGAGGTTTCTGAACATTTTGGCATACCTTAGAAAAAATGAATGTATGTGTGTGTGTATATGTGCGTGTATGTGCGTGTGCGCGGATACAAATTTTGTCGACGATTTCGGGAACGCCGATCAACCGATTTGAATAATTCAAAAAAGATTCGATTCGTATTGAAAAGGAGACGTGCTGATTAGTTTTTGGCGAAAGCAAGTCTAGCCGTTTAAAAGATACGGAGAAAAAAATGCAAAAATGGCAGGTTCTGAGAGAACAAATCGTCCGATTTGAATGATTCAGAAAACATTCGATTCGTATTGATGTGGAGACGTACTGATTAGTTTTTGGTATAGGCAGGTCAGGCCATTTCGAAGATACAGAGCAAAAAGTGCAATAATTCCGATCCGCTAATAGTGTTGCGCGTCAGCATGTTATTATAGCAGTTAACAGAGTTGGTTAACGCGTCACC